CTTTCGAGCCGTGTGTCGCGCTCGTTCAGCGACCTCGTTTTGCTTTGACGGCGTTCAGCCTCACCCTGCTTCATTCTACTACGTTAATAAATCATAAGCTCATCCATGAACATGATTTCTGCCGAGTCCAGTCGGATTGCGTCGGCTGTGGGGATGAAGACCACTACTCCCATGATTCCACACTCAGTCACTGCCTCATCAAATTACGCCTTTGTCTATTTGTTTATTTTGAATACGCGCCCTCTAGCGGCGAAAATTACATATTGTGCCTTTAAGTTCATTAGTTTGTTTGTTAAAACTGTGTAATCCAATTTAGACCATTTAGAGATCTGTAGTATCAGTGTGGCTTGAACTCATTTTGGCGACTGTGCAAACAGGGGCCGCATGTACGTGACTCTGGGCCCTAACTGGAGGGTTCCTCTCCGCAGCCATGCCCACAGGTACAAACCCCTGCCTGGGTCAAAGGTCACCTCCTCCATTCCTCTGGGGCATCGGGTTCACCTGTCTTGGCATGCAGCGTCTCCTCTTTAACATTCCAGTTTCCCTCTCTTTTCTGGTTTAGACTGTCATGTCTGTCATCTGCTCTCTCTTTATCCAGCTGTCAGATTGTCATCATCTCAGGATGGTTATAGAATTGTATTTATCCACCTTATTTTTCAAAGTTGGAAGTTAGCCGTTTTCTGTGAATGTGTGAGACGTCCGGTTCATTAGCCACTGAAGGGAAATAACGAGAAGAATAACAATGTGCAGTAAACGTGCACTACAAACCAGTGTGTTCATAATTAAGATAATACATTAAAATAACATGGTAAGACACACCAGTTTGCAATATCAAGCAGCAAAATGAGCTGTTTTGTACAGCTAAACATAGCTGGACGCTTTAAAGCCAGACACATTACATTTACAAATGGCCGCGACAGCTCTTACGGGAAAAATAAGGTGGATAGAAGAGAAAAGCTCTGGTCCAAAACCTAACCTGTGGGCTTGCGGTCCACTGCCCTGTGCTGTCTACCTAGACGGCATCCTTCTGATGCAGCATCCTAACTAGTGTGACACTGTACATGGGCAGCACTCAAATAGAGCTCCTCACATTTACATTCACATTCAGTCATTTAGTAGAGGGGGTTTCAAACTGGGCTCTGCAGCAAAGTTGAATGAAAAACAATATAAAAATGTAAAATAACATTAAATAAAGAATACTAAAGATACTTAAAATAAATAGTAAACAAATAGTAATAAAATCAATTAGGATCAAAATAATTAAACTAACAAGTTGATTTCAATAAATAAATAATAAAAAAATTATAAATAAATAAACAATAACTTGGGTGAAAATAAACAACAGAGAATAGATAAAAAATATGTAAATAAATTAGATTAAAGTAAATAATAATAATTAGGTTCAAATAAAGATATAATAAAGAGTAGATCACAAGTCAATTAGATGAATTAGTACCTTAGAATAAAATAAAAATACATTTAAATAAATAAATAATGTCTCTAAACAGTACAGTGATATAGTGAATAGAAAGAAAGGTATTGTTTTGTAATAGAAACTAAATATTTAAAAAATACACATTTATGATATAAATTTTTCACTTTAAAATTTTGGTCTATATATGTGACCCTGGACCACAAAACCAGTCATAATGTATGGTTTGTTAGGATAGGACAATATTTGGCTGAGATGCAACTATTTGAAAATCTGGAATCTGAGGGTGCAACAAAATCTAAATATTGAGAAAATCATCTTTAAAGTTGTTCAAATGAAATCCTTAGCCATGCATATTACTAATCAAAAATTAAGTTTTGATATATTTACAGTAGGAAATTTACTAAATATCTTCATGGAACATGATCTTTACTTAATATGCTAACGATTTTTGGCATAAAAGAAAAGTTTCATCTTTAAAGTTGTTCAAATGAAATCCTTAGCCATGCATATTACTAATCAAAAATTAAGTTTTGATATATTTACAGTAGGAAATTTACAAAACATCTTCATGGAACATGATCTTTACTTAATATGCTAACGATTTTTGGCATAAAAGAAAAGTTGATCATTTTGACCCACACAATGTATTGTTGGCTTTTGCTACAAATATCCCCCAGCGACTTAACACTGCTTTTGTGCTCCAGGGACACATACATGAAATATAGCTGCCTTTTAAATTTTAGACAGATAATATTTGGTAGTCTGTGGCATCTGAAAGATTGAAAAACCTTGTATTATCAGACGCTTTTATTCAAAGCAAAGCCAAGTGTGATGCAAGTGAGGAGACTCGACTCAATAGAGTGCTACAGTGATTGTATAAAATAGTTGAGTTGTAGTCATTCATAATACATAAAACCAATATATTTGCATACACTGTACAATATATCCAGATTAGTGCTGGGCAACAATTAATCGTGATTAATCGCATCCAAAATAAAAGTTTTTGTTTATATAACATATGTGTGTGTACTGTGTATATTTATTGTGTATATATAAAGACAAACACATACAGTATATATTTTGAAAATATTAACATGTATATATTTATATTCCTAAAATTTATATTTTATATAAATATTTATTATATATAAACATAACATATTTTTCTTAAGTATATACATGCATGTGTGTATTTATATATACATAATAAATATACACAGTACACACACACACATTTTATGTACACATCGCGGTTAGTCATTTCCCAGCACTAATCAAATATATATATATATATCAGTTTGAGAGTGTAGGGAGAAGGGTAGTGCAAGTTTTCAGAGGAAATTCAGATATTAACTGGTATTTTATTTCAATTTTAAGCATGTTAAAACCAAATATTGTGTAAAATAGACAGTTTTTTTCCCTTTTTTGTTAAATTAATTAAAATTTGAGAAATTCATCCAGAATAGAGTCTCTTAGAAAGCTGCATATTTATGCTATTTACCTTTTGAAACAATCTTCACATTGAGAGTGTGCGTATGAAAAGCTCACTAGGTTTTGAAACAGAGCCGATATCTTGTGAGTGGGTGAAGGGGAAGCTTTCTGTCTTGCATCAGCGCTCTCGTTACTCTCTCAAACTCACACTTCACCTCAGCCTGAGCTCTCCAGCAGCTCCATCACATCCTCACATCAGATGTGAGCTGGAACGTCAGCAGTACACACACACACACGGTGAAGGTGTTGGGCTAATGTGATTCCCTCTGTGCAGTCCGTCAGTAGCAGAGTCCAGTCTGGCTCACGGAGAGTCGGGTGGAGTCACGATGCAGGGGCCGCTGAAGAGGAAAACCCTGCTGAAGGAGGGCAGGAAACCCAAGGTGAACAGGAAGGGAACAAAAATGAGTTTAAAAACTATGGTTAAATATTTTTCAGCATTTGCCATTATTCAGTATATAAAGATATTTATGAATTTGCTTTGAAATTGTGCATACTTGACATTTATGCCTCCAGAAACGGAACTTATGGCCAAAGATGGCAGCATGCAGATCTCACATTTTTAAAGGGTTAATGCAACTGCCCTCAACATCCTATACGTCATACATTTTATGTATATATATATATATATATATATTTAAAATTATCCCCAAAAATGGCCAAAAATATATATTTATTAAAATATGGAGGATATGAATATATATTTATATATATATATTATATAAGAGTTTAAAAATATATGTTGGCCATATATTCCAGTCCAAGAAAATGCATTCACATATGTCACATTTGAAGAAATGTATATTTAAAATATAAACCTCCAAGTCCGTCTAAGATTTTTTGTTTTAAATGAGCTTTTTATCATGCTCCTGTGTTTAGGTTCAGTCATTTCAGTTATCGGCAATGAATATGTTATTAGTCAGTTATTAAAATCCCTTATTTTTCAAAAATGTCCAATGTATAGGGCCAAATTTTAGCTTGAACTTTATTTGGTAAAAGATTCATGACAATATTTTAGAAAACCTTCACATTGACCAGCAGGTGTGTCACTGTGGCTTTGAATATTTGACTCAAGCACTCCATCTAGTGATCAACACATACAAAAACTAAACATCAAAAAAGATCAATCCAAAGTTTCTTCATTCATCTGTGTATCTAAAAATAAAATCCCAAAAGATATCCCTTGATTTCCGTGAACGTGCATTGCATTGCAGGTAAACATTTGATCAGTTCATGCATTCACTAGGAAATAAACACTGCTCTCTTCTTTGAGCTACAGCAATTTAGATAACACATATATTTAGAGAGTATTGCCCAGCTCTGTTTAGTTGAGTTTGCATCATTTTTCGTATGTTTTGTTTGGTTGTCTTTTATTCAGCTTGCCTCGTGGACGCGGTATTGGATCACACTTTGTGGTTCCACTCTTATATTCTACGGATCCAAAGCTCTGCGAGCCACAGAACGGAAACATGTGAGTGATGCAAAGAATCTCACAGCAATTCCATTTTTTATACATTTAAAAAAATAATAATACATTATTATAATAATAAATTGTATTTATTTTAAAAGTATCATTTGAAATGAAAATAACATTTTATGGAATCTTACTCTGTATAACACAGTACAAGTCTTCGCCGTGTAAGAAAGTGTGTGTTCTGGGCTGGATGGTGGTGCTGCCGGATGATCCGGCTCAACCCAACATCTTTCAGCTCAACCATCCTGACAAAGGTCAATCTGATTCACTGAGGGTTTCCTTTCGTGCTTTTATAATGACAGTCTTCACAAAATTACTCATTTAGTCATTGTTCAATGAATTATAGTGAATGATATGTTGTTTTTTTGTATGCATAACTCAAGCAGAATGTCTGTGTTCCTCAGGGAATGTTTACAAGTTTCAGACTAGCGATCGGTTCACTGCGATCATGTGGCACAAACACCTGGAGGAGGCGTGTCGGAGAAGAAGACCTCAGGTATCAACAACCGCTGATTCATTAGGACTGGATGGCATGAACAAGCTTTTTTCACAATAACCAACAGTTCAGTATCAGGAAAAAAGGTACAAAAGCTGTCACTGGACCAGTACCTTTTCAAAAGATACTTTTAGATACTAATATGTGCACTTTAGATACAAATATGCGTCTTTAAGGTACTAAAATGCACCTTTTAGGGGTAAATGTACAAATGTTTACCTTTTGAAAGGGTACCATCCTAGTGACAGCTTTTGTACCTTTTTTCTGAGAGTGTATATGTGACCCTGGAGCACAAAAGCAGTGTTAAGTCGCTGGGGGATATTTGTAGCAATAGCCAAAAATACATTGTATGGGTCAAAATTATACATTTTTCTTTTATGCCAAAAATCATTAGGATATTAAGTAAAGATCATGTTCCATGGAGATATTTTGTAAATTTCCTACTGTATATATATCTAAACTTATTTTTTGATTAGTAATATGCATTGCTAAGAACTTCATTTGAACAACTTTAAAGATGATTTTCTCAATATTTAGATTTTTTTGCACCCTCAGATTCCAGATTTTCAAATAGTTGTATCTCAGCCAAATATTGTCCTATCCTAACAAACCATACATCAATGGAAAGCTGATTTATTAATGATGTATAAATCTCAATTTTTAAAAATTACCCTTATGACTGATTTTGTGGTCCAGGGTCACATATAGGACAATAGAGTTATTTTTGTTGGAAGATCAAGTGAATTAATTTAATATGGACAGCAACACATTATGAAATGCTTATTAGTTTTAATATTGTATTTTAATGTGTCAAGATGTTGTTCATATTTGTATTTAACCTGTATGATTTATTTATTTTATATAAATGTATATGGGTATACCTATGATGAAAATTACAGGCCTCTCTCATCTTTTTAAGTGGGAGAACTTGCACAATTGGTGGCTGACTAAATACTTTTTTGCCCCACTGTATATTAATTGATATGTATTTAATATTCTTTTTTTTTTAAATCTGATTAAATGAGTTCTATAGTAATGCATCAAGTTGTCATATCATTCAGCTGCTGTGAACAGATCAACTATAATTGCATAACGCTGTGATTGCTCTTTTCACTCTAGATACCAGCGAATCTCATGTCGTTTGAGTAAACGGACTTGTGTAACTCTTGCCTGAAGACACTTAGAAGGTGCCAAAGGCCTACAGAGATGGAGAAGGATGTGTTTGGTTCAGCAAAAGGATAAAAAAATAGCAAAAATCCTTCATTATTGAAGATTCCACTGAGCCGCTGTACTCGCTCTGATTCACTGGCCCTCCGTGAGCCGCCGGACACATCTAACATCACAATGTCTGTTACAGAGCCGGACGAGGAGGTTTGAGCACTAGTATGTGGGACTGTAGGAAGGGAGGGGAGTTTGGCCGTTCCAGCTCCATGGTGTCTTTTCTATGGAGACTTTTGGATCTCAGGGTGTTTGTGTGGCTTCAGTGAAGAAACCTGAAGCTTGAGATGGGCATTTTTGTGGTGATATATGTCAGTTTTAGAGAGAAAGAGAAAACATGTCGCCTGTAGCAGAAGAATAAAAAGCCAAACAAATTAGCTCCTACAAAACAAACCACAGCCGGATCAGGAAAAAAATATGAAAAAAGACTTAAACCAGCTAATGATACTCACTGGTTAAGAGCGGTTTAGTTACAGACTAATCACATCTCCTTCCAGCACAGTGATTTTGATTTCTGGTTAATGTTAGGATGTGGTGATGCTGGCTGAAGGAGGTTTGTGAGTGTGACTTGTTTACATCAGAGATTCTGAATCCACTTTCTGTTCTAGTCGTTTTATACTCATGAAAGCTTGTTTTGGGCTTTAAGTATTAAATAATTATTACACCTCTCCTGTCAAATGAAGGTTTTGCTCACAACTTAAACCAGCTGAAATATGTAACATCTGATAGGTTTCCTTCTACATTAACTGGAGAATACAATTTTTATAACACGTAACACAATCACTATTAAAACCAGAGTTTATTTTTCATTTAGCCCATCTCACAAAAACAAGAACTGCATCTTTTGACTTACTGGGTAACTCTCACAAAACCTGTCAAAACATTGTCCACGTCATATCTTACCCCAAAAGTGAATAGAAAGAAATAAGCAATAATATTTTGCTTAAAGAAAGTTAAGCCTATTTTTAAGGTATTTATAGGCTTAAATATAGGCTTGTGTTTTGACATTATTTTCATGACAATTAAGCACATTTAACCCTCAAATTCTCATTACTGTAACACAAACAAAAACACATCATTTAAATTTTAAATATTTATACATCATGGTCATATTTATTGTACTGCCTTTAATGTATGTTTATGGATATTATTGCACTTTTTTATATTTTAATACAATTAAACTGTGCTTAAAATGTACTTGAAAATAAAGTCACAAGCTTTAAATTATTTTTTTAAGCTTTAAATATTTGCGCCTTCTCGTGTTGTTTGAACCAGTTTGATGATTTATTTTCAAAGGAACACAAAATGAAGCATTTAAGAGTATCGTCATGCAACTTTTTCCATAAAAACAGCAGTTAAACCCCCCCAAAAATCCATTTAAAAACTATAAAAGTGCTGTCGTCCAAATCATGACTCCAGAATACAGTTTTGCATACTTGTACTTGAAATATTACTATTGCCGTCAAACGATTAATCGTGATTAATCGCATGAAAAATACAAGTTTTTGTTTATATAAAAACAAATGTATTTACATGTATATATTTATATTCATATAATTTATATTATATAAATATATTTAATATATAAACAACATATTTTTCTGAAATATATACATGCATGTGTGTATTTATATATACATAATAAATATACACAGTGCACACATGTAAACAAAAACATTTATTTTAGATGCGATTAATCGTACAGGTAAAAGTACAGGTTTGAAACAACATGAGGGTGAGTAAATAATGATAAAATGTTCATTTTGGGATGAACTATCCCTGTACAGTGAATTGTCAGGTTTATAATAATTTGTGAACTGACTCCTGATAGTGATCACTAGTTCTGTGTTGAGAGTATTATTTGTCTAGCATCAGTTTGCCTTTCTGTACATGAATTCAGCTTGAAATAGGCCACTGTTTTTGTTTTAAGGCCACAAGCTTTTTCTTTCACATGCGAAACACACATGTACAGCAGCACTGCATGTATGTTATGTTTGTTTCTGCTGGAACTGTGAATGAACTCTCGTTGTGTTGCCATGTAAATATGTTGCTAAATTATTTCTTGTTTGCCATCGTGGTACATTGCGGTTCATCAGCTAAAAGGCTGATTCTTCTGTACAAACATTAAATGCCAGTGAACACACGATTGTCTTGGTGTATGATGTTTTCACAGTTCATTTGATTTTTAGGAGGTTAGGATAAGATATTATTTTATTTAATCCGAGGACATTATCAGTAGTTCAGGCGGACGAGGATGGGAAGGATCTGTGATTTGTGATTACAGGATTACAGATTCTGGTCTGGAGAAGACTGAATGTTATATTGTAATGTTTATATTACATTTCTGTCCCCCTCACTTCTGAAATGATGGCTATGGCCCTGTCCTGAGCCCATCAATGTCCTGCAAACCACTTTAAAAGGACAATGTGTGTTGAAGCATGTGGACTTTTTAAACCTTTTTGATCACCATTTTTTCTTAACTGATTCATTTTAAATGGTGCTACAATGTGGTGAAATAATTTTGCAAATACTTTCAGATGGAGAGTAACATGTCCCACTACAGGACGTTTGTTTATTGAACGTAATGTTTTATTTATTAGTTATTTTCAGTGTTACTTACAGTGCCAGTTGGTTGAGAATTATGTTAAGAGCTACCAAAAAAAAAAGTCCAGTATTACTCAAATTTCACAGAATGTTGCTGGAATCTTTTGTGTTGTGTATATTAATCATCATTAAGCTGTCAGCGTCTGGCACATACACTGTATATGAACAGAGATCTGAACCCTGATAACATTGATAGCGCTTAATAAAGTCACTCAGATTATTAGTGTGACTTTTGCTTAGAACAAAACAAAAGTGTGTGTGAGCCAGGGCCATCGCTAGGAATTCTGATTTAGCTATGGTGCGACTATCAGACTTTTCATATAAGAGTACTTCAGAATTTTTAATCTGTGACATCGGATCATATTTAAAAAAAAAAAAAACGTTTTGAGAATTGCTTACTCTGAACAAGAACTAAATCGACCAACAGTTCTTAATTGCACAATACCAACTAACATTTAAATCTCTAACTAGAACAAAACCAACCAACATTCAAACCTCTCAATAAAGCAATACTGAAAACGTGTCCTTTGAAACCATGTGTATTGTGTTGTACATGTGTGACAGCACCTCCCACAATTCTTCAGGTCATGTGATCTTAACTTTAAAAGTGCAGGACTGTTGTTCTGGGAGTCAGACTGACTGATTAACACTTCTCTGCACTGATCATCAGCACACTGCAGTAATGTCAATGCCTGGAGGCTGGAGTCCAGTGAAACCGGTCACTCTAGAGGTGATAAAGATTTGCCTTGAGGTATGAGACACAAAATCACTCCTAGAGTAAACACACTGTCTGTTACTAGTGAGCTGTTTTGTCTGTTTTGGAGCTGTAATATTCACTCTAAAAATGCTCTGTTAAATATAACCCAGCGCTGGGTTGAAAAAAAGGGACAAACCCAGCTATTGGGTTGTTTTGACCCAGCGGTTGGGTTGTTTTGACCCAGCTATTGGGTTGTTTTGACCCAGCTGTTGGGTTGTTTTGACCCAGCTGTTGGGTTGTTTTGACCCAGCGGTTGGGTTGTTTTGAGTCAAACCGCTGGGTCAGAACAACCCAATAGCTGGGTTTGTCCCTTTTTAACCCAGCATTTTTTAGAGTGTTGTTTGTACGAAATTTATTATTTGTTTTTGGGTTTAGTTTTCAATTAAATCCACAATTTGGATTTTTTTTATCCATGTTCCATTGTAGGAATGATATATATATATATATATATATGTGTGTAAACTGCCTTTTGCAATAAATTCAGCTTTAATACCATATAGATTAATAATCATTCTGGATTAAACTCTGAACATTCAAAGCATGTCTAAATATATAGATTAACTTGTTTACTAATGTGGTTAACTACATTGTGTTAATAAATGTCCCTTATTGTAATGTGTTACTATAATAATAATGTTTATCTGTTTATTCAGATGAGGAAACAGATTGAGGACAATGTTGAAAATGGAAGTGATTCGAAGGTTTACATTCCTTTGGTCTATTCTTCTCAAATTGTGAATGGAACAAACTATGTGGTCAAGGTAAGTGAGTGTTTTTGCTTGTATGTTTTATGGATTTTGAGGTTGTGAATTCATCACTGAAAAATAAAGGTATAACTTGCATGCTGCCCAATATCAACTAGCCAACTGTGGCAGTGAAAGTTAAAATGCATCAAGTCAAGCTACTTGCATTTGCATTCGTTTTTCTCAATTTTGAGGACTTTTTACTAAATAATTCTCAGCTTGGTAGCATTGCTGGACATGCCTAATGTAGTCGACAACTGTCACTGCTGAGCTTGTAAAGTGTTCAAATTGATTTCTCTCTTTGTCAGGTGTTTCTTGGTGGAAGAGATGATGGAGTGTGTGTTCATGCAAAGGTACATCAGGCTCTTGCCTGTAGTGGAGGAAAACTGACACTGTCTGGATTCCAGTTCCCTAAAACCTTCGGTGAACCTCTGAACCCCTTCTGAACACATCTAACCAAATACAGAAACAGTCTTATCAAATAACAGACACATTCAATGAGCTGCCGTAGAGGAACTGCTGAAATCATTTCATTCTTCAATATTAAACTCTGTATTCAAACACTTAAGTGTCACTGTGTTTACTGAGTAATATCAAACTCGCTTCACAAATGTGTTACACTGAAATAAACGAACAGAAATATTCCTCATCATTACAAATCTTTAAACATAAAAGTTTTTTTTTAAGTCAAATTTCAATTTCAAAAATCGAATTTTACGATTTTATCGACTTCAATGGCCGAATTAGTTTTTTTTTCAATGAAATGTCATACAAAAGCAAGAGGTTTGTGTTTGTCACGTTTGTTTTTCCATTTTGCATTTACTTGTACTTTTACTTTCAATACTTAAGTACGTTTAAGATTTAAAAAATACTTTTCATACTTAAGTATAATAAATATCACATACTTTAAGACTTTCACTCAAGTAATATTCTAAACGGTGACTTCAACTTCTACCAAAGTAATTTTCTGGTAAGATATCTGTATTTTTACTTGAGTATGGCTTTCAGGTACTTTATACACCACTGAACTTATATAATATAAGCACAGCGACAAGTTATGGCCTCACCTTTTATGGTGAGGTCAACACACGTTGCTTCATAATGAAGTTGTATTATAATTTATGAAACAAATGACCCAACTGATGTTAAACAGAAGTCAGTGTTTTCATGCACTGCAATGCATTGTAAGATTACATGGAAGTGTAAAGCTGAAATTCCTTATAAGACTGAACACAGTCATTTCCACAGAAAAACTATAAACACTTTCATCTTTGAAGATATCAAAGAAAGAGCATAAAACACCATCTTATCGTGATTACTGATTACAGAAGAATACAAACGTAACATCTTATTTGCCAGGTAGAAATACATTACATTCTGGTCCGTATAAAAGGGTGATAAAATATGATCTTAAAAATATTAAGTCATCCATGTCGTCCTGCAGTCACAAACTATTTTGATGTACCATTTAATCGTTTCTAAATTTTGGCATAACAGAAAAATAAAATAAGTTTGAAGTTAAGCTGAAGTATGTGGTGTTGTAGATATTTTTCTCTTAAATAAAGAACACTGTCTGAATAAGTGAATTTAACGGTAAAAGACTGTAAAAAGGCTACAGTAAATTCCCCTACTATATACGGTGGAAAACTGTATTGGGCATTACATGTAATTTTACGGTAGTATACCATTTTTGGAAGTGAAAAAGTCCATATAATTTACAGTGAATAACCGTAAATTGACATTCCCAGAATTCCCTGCGTTACATTTCAAATGAGATGTTTTTTTAAAATAAATGTTTCTTAGTTTTTTCTTATCAGTTTTGTATATTAGGGTTGTATGTTGCACCTAATGTTGTTAAATTAATGTTTATTGCATTATTTCAGTTTCATGTGTGTTACCGTGATGGTGTTTAAGGTTTGTGTGAATGACACACTGTGCACCTTCTATATATGTTAGTATTTAAAAGCTGTTTGTGATGGGCTTTGGTTCATCATGTGACTCTAATCACCACCTGCATTTGGTGGTTATCAGTGTATTACAAAAGGTACAAAACAGATTTCAGTACATTATAACCACAATAGCAACCACAGCTGCAGTTCTTTTACCGTAAATTTTACGGAATTTTTTTTACAGTTTAAGTTAAGTGTCTGGGCATACGGGACAATAAAAAATATATTTTAGCATAATAATTTAACATTTAAGACTCCTAAACATTAGTAAAACATATGTATAAATAAAAGCAATTAATTCTGTGCAGGACTGATGATTGTAATGCAGTTTGATGATCTTGTGTGTCAGTCTGTAATACTGGACACACAATCCACATCCAACATCTCATCCCCTCAGATCAGCTTGAGAAATCTGACACTTAACAGAATTAGAGGAATAATTCACTCCAGAAAGACATTTCTGTCATTATTTCCTCCCTCTCATGTCTGTGGGACACAACAGGAAAAATCTGAAAGAATCTTTTTCTATACAACAACAATTGAACCACCAAAAAATTATTACAAAAACAATAAAATTACTCTATAATGTCATGCTCTATATTCTAACTCATACGTGTTACAGGGCGAACGAGACGCGAGACGTGCGGATCAATCTGCAAAGCTTTTATTTAAAGGCATGGTCATAAAAACAGGCAAGGTTCTGACAATGGCAAACAGGTATATAGAGGGCAAGACAAAAGAGTAATCCAAACTGGGTGCGAGTGAGTAGACAGCGAACGTTATCCAGAGGGCTTGACAAGAGGGGAAATCCAAAAACACGAGCAGTAGTCCAGGCGAGGTGCAAACACAGTCCGAAACAACAGGCAAAGGATTAATCCAAGATAAACAGGCAAAAATCAGGTAACACGGGAAAGCAGGCAAGGCAAAACCATGGCAGGACTAGGCTAGACTATGAAACAGGCTCCGTAAAGTAGCTATCAACGAACAGTGATGAGTGCTAAACAATACTCGGCCTAGAACAGTGGTGTGAGACTGATTTATATAGTGTGTGTTATTGGTAGCAGCTGTGTGTGATTGGTTTCAGGTGAGCTTGTGATAGTGCAATGGAGCATGGGAAATGTAGTCCGGGATGACAAGCAACAGTTTGTGTAAAGTGAGAGTCAATGTAACGGAAGGGTGACCTCTGGTGGCGATCGAACGGAAGTCCATGGACAGGATTCGTGTCAATATGACTTCAGAATACAGTTTTGTATGTACTTATACTTGAAATACAACACAATATTTTGGAGTTTGATATAGTGAGTCACTCACAATGACCTGTAAGATGGAAAAAAGTATAAAGATTCTGCAAAAATGTCTACATTTGTGTTTTAAATATACAAAATTAACATATAGGTTTGGAATGGCATGAAGGTGAGTAAATATTGACGTGTTCATTTAGGAATGAAATGCCTATTTGCAGTGAATTGTCAGAAGTTTGACTGTTGCCTATTTTGGGGTGTATTTAAATGTATTTAACCTTATTCAGTCTTATTTTCTGTCTTTCATGCAATCTTTATTTATTCTCTCTTCCAGCATCTCTTGTGATTTGCTTTGGACATGAAGCTCAGGTAAGAATCAGTCTAATGTAACCTGGTTAATGACAATCAACTTCCAAGTGTTGTCCACTTTGCAGCTTATTTCAAATAAATGAAAATCTAGATCACTAAAAGACAATTCATGATTTATTTCATCACTTTACAAATCACTTTAATTCATGCACTGAATGAATTACGTGAAACAAAACGCAATATTTCTTCTATTATATTCATGGAACATGATCTGTATGAACACGTCATCACACAAAAAGCTTTTTTCTTGAAGTTTTTGTGAGAAAAAACATTTAGATGAGTTCAATGGAATGTTGATCTCTTCTCTCTAATGTCAATCAATCATCTGAAACAATGAAAAATGCCTTAAGTGTAACTGTCAGCATCTGGCACATGCACTGGTAACATTGACACACTGTAAAAAAACATCTGTGACATTTACGGTAAAATACCGGCAGCTGTGGTTGCCAGAACTTCACCGTAAAAAATATGGTAGCAACATTTTAGGTTTTACAGACTTAACTTAAATTCACAATAAAATACCGTATTTCATTAACTGATGTAATGTTAATAAACCAACATATTGAAGTGTTAATATCTGTTTTGAACCATTGTAATGCACTGATAGCCACCAAAAACTGGTGGTGATGAGTAAGTCACATGATGAACCAAAGCTCATCACAAACAGCTTTTCTACGAGATGAGGGCAATATTTATATATAGAAGGTGCATACAGTGTCATTCACACAAACATTAAACCCCATCATGGTGACACACATGATACTGAAATAATGCAATAAACATTAATTTAACAACATTAGATGTAAGATTAAACCCTAATGTACACAAATGATAAGAAAAAAACTAAGAATAAACATATTCATTCAACAAAAAATCATCAAATATGAAGTGTCATGCAGGGAATTCTGGGAGTGTCAATTTACGGTTTTTCACTGTAAATTATACAATGGCTTTTTCTTTTTCACTTCCAAAAACCGTATTTTTAGCAGTATTTTACTGTAAAATTACATTAAATGTAATTACATTTATTCACCGTATATAGTATGGAAACTTACTGTCAACCAGTTAACTGGTTTTTACTGTAGCATTTTTACAGTCTTTTACTGTTATTTGTATTGCATTATGATACTCAGATAAATCAAGTATCATTATTTATGGTTATATATCCATAGAGATCATAAACAAATATCTCACCACTGGCAACCACACTTGTGGCAGGACCTTTTCTACAAAACATTGCAAATTAGACTTTGAACACAACAGTTCACACAATGTTTTAAATGTTAGAAGGCTATATATATAGATAGAGAGAGAGAGAGAGAGAGAAATGCAAAAGACAGTGCAGCATTGACAGAATAATTACAGATGTGTCTCAAATTCCTATTAAGTTTGCAAACAGTGAAGAACATTTGTTGGCTAAAAACTGATACAACAGCAGAAAACTGTGTGCTGTGATTCATTACAGGATTGAGACACACAGAGGGGAGATCCTGAGCCCACCAGTGTCCTGTAGTGAATAAGGGTAGTTGAAGCTCTTTTCATGTTTTTCCTTTATTTTAAATGGTGCTACAACGTGATGAAATCATTTTGCAAATGCTTTCAGATGAAGTGTAGCATTTCACTCCACTGAACATGTACATTTCCCAGACGTATTTCAGGGAGTTATTTCATGAGTTACTCACCAGTTGAAATATGCTGAGAAAATATGAGAAATCTTTTAGGAAATGCAAAAAAAGTCCAGTTTTGCTCAATTTTCACAGAAAGTTGAATTCTTTTGTTTTGTGTATATCAGTCATTAAGCTGCCATCATCTGGCACATATACTGATGAACAGAGATCTGAGCACTCATAACATTAATTTCTGTTGCATTAAAAGACACTCAGATTAGTCAAGTATCATTATATGAGTTTCACTTCAAACAAAACAAAAGTGTGTCCAGGCATTAGACTTTTCATACTTAATCATTTTTAACAAGCAACATCCAATCAAATTCAGGATGAATATGAATCAGCATCTTTTACTAAGTGGTCCTGAAAAAATCTGTCACACTTGTACTGGTTGGGGTCAAAAATGACCACACTGGAAACGATTGGGAAAATTGGGAGAATTTGTGTTTGTGTTTCAAGTGTGCTCCAAAGCATTCAAGATTTACACAGTTTCAGTTGGAAATTTCATTTTCCGGTCTATGATCAAAAACTGGTGAGCAGGTAATAAATTGATTACAATAACTATTCCATAAAGCTCCTCTGATTCTGATTCTGATAAATATAATTTAGTACCATAAAATCTCTTATATACAGTATATAAATAAAAAATTTGCATACATATATGTATATATATTAGTACATTAATTTCATTGAAAACAAATTGGTCATTTTTGACTGCCACGCAAGAATGGCAGGTCTGTGAAACAAAACCAGTCCAATTGCTATTCAAAATTAATATAAAACTAGTCCAATTACATTTTTTCCATCGAAATTGTGTCCCGGGAGGAAATCGCTTTAACCTGCAGACTAAAAACCAACCACGGCAACAGTGTAAAAGTAGGCCAGAGACTTCATAGCACAATAGTGACCAAAATTTTTATTTGTTAATATAAGGAAACCAACCAACATTTTAACCTCTTACTAGAACCAAACTGACCAGCGTTCAAACATCTTTAAAAAAAACTTGCCCTACAATTTGTTCTTAGGTAAAGTGTTATAGACATAATGTTATGATTTTCTTTAAAGCTGCTTTGAAACCATGAATGAATGAATGATGCATTTATATAGCGCTTTATTGTGTATTGTTGTACACCCAAAGCGCTTTACAATCATGTGGGGGGGTCTCTCGTCAACCACCACCAGTGTGCAGCATCCACCTGGATAATGTGACGGCAGCCACAGAACAACAGCGCCAGTGCGCTCACCACACACCAGCTACAGGTGGAGAGGAGAGAGAGTCATAGAGCCAATCAAGTGGATGGGAATTATTAGGAGGCCATGAGAGGGATCATGAGGGGATTTGGCCAGGATACCGGGGTTGCACTCCTACTCTTTACGAGACGTGCCATGGGATTTTTAATGACCACAGAGAGTCAGGACCTCGGTTTAACGTCTCATCCGAAGGACGGTGCTTTTTACAGTATTGTCTCCCCGTCTCTACACTGGGGCGTTAGGACCCACACAGACCCCTTGCTGGCCTCTTTAACACCTCTTCCAACAGCAACCTAGTTTTCCCAGGAGGTCTCCCATCCAAATACTGACCAGGCTCAACCCTGCTTAGCTTCAGTGGGCGACCAGGGCTGCAGGGTGATATGGCTGTGAAATGTGCTATACAAATAAATTTGATCGTGACTTGACCTGACATTATTACTTTTGCCTAACATTGTGGTTAGGTGATTTAAACAAACATTTAACCATAGTTCACTGCCACATTTGTGACAGCACCTCCCACAATTCTTCAGGTCATGTGATCTTAACTTTAAAAGTGCAGGACTGTTGTTCTGGGAGTCAGACTGACTGATTAACACTCCACTTCTCTGCACTGATCATCAGCACACTGCAGTAATGTCAATGCCTGGAGGCTGGAGTCCAGTGAAACCGGTCACTCTAGAGGTGATAAAGATTTGCCTTGAGGTATGAGACACAAAATCACTCCTAGAGTAAACACACTGTCTGTTACTAGTGAGCTGTTTTGTCTGTTTTGGTGCTTTAATATTGTTTGCACAAAATTAATTATTTGTTCGTTTTGTTTTAGTTCAATTTACATTTTTTATGTCCTTGTAGCACAATATGAATGATATATGCAAGTGCCTATTTATGCAATAAATTCAGATTTAATAACATACAGATAAATAATTGCTCTTGATTAATCCTTTATAGAAAACTCTTAACTCATCAAAAGTGATGTACAATATTCAAAATACCGCATTTATTATTAGTTCATGTTTACAATGTAGTTAACTCCTAACTGTTAAAAAATGATCCTTATTGTAACCATAATAATAATAATGTTTCTCTCTTTATTCAGGTGAGGCCAGAGATAGAGAAGATGGTTGGAACTAATTTTAAGATTTACATTCCTGTGGTCTATTCTTCTCAGGTTGTGGCAGGAATAAATTACAAGTTCAAGGTAAATGAATGTTTTTGTTCGTTTGTATTTTTTAATGGATTTTGAGCTTGTGAAACTCAAGGTACAACTTGCACTCTACCTAATATCAACTAGTCAACTGTTTGTCCTAACCAGGTGTGATGTGTCAAGTAACTTGTCCGTCCTCACTGAAAGTTCAAATGCATCAAGTCAAGCTTCTTGCATTTGCATAAGATAAAACTTTTCTTAACATTGTAGCATTGCTGGACATGCCCAAATGTAGTCGAACTTGTAAAGTGTTTGTCTACATTAAACTAGTTCATTTTTCTCTCTCTGTCAGGTGTTGGTTGATGTAGATGGGGATGGAGTGTGTGTTCACGCATTGATATTTCAGGCTCTTCCCTGTTATGGAGGGGAACTGAGTGTGACTGAAATCCAGCACCCCAAACCCTTTGATGACCCACTGATCCCTTCTGAACACTTACAGAAATAGTATTTGTCTAATATCAGACACATGCAATGAGCTGCCATACTGTATAGAGGAACAATTTAAATCATTTCATTCCTCAATATTAAACTCCATAATCAAATCCTCCAGTGTCAGTGTGTTTACTGAACAACATCAAACTCACTCAAATGTTTTATGCTGAAATAACTGAACATAAATATTCCTCATTATTACAAATCTTTAAATATAAATGTAAAGAATTTTTAAAAAGTTAAATTAAATTATCAAATTTTAAGATTTTATTGACTTCAATGACTAAAATAATTTTTTTTTAATAACTCAAACTGAAATATACCATACAAAAGCAACATTTTTATTTATTAGGGACAATGCAGTATAATATTGCTACGATTTCAAGCAGCCGATGTTCCACATACAGGCTTCTATAGGCAAAGGCTAATTTGCTGCCTCAGTCCCTGGTTAGGCTTTTTTATACAACAATAAAGCAATAATCATACCAAAAAACTAAACATTAATTAAAATATAACAATAATGCAAGAAAGCTGAGACTGTGTACGACCACCAGTTTTCATAAACCTGTTTTTGTTTGAACCAATTTTTTTTATTTCTTTGAAATATGTTCAACTCTGTTTGCCTTTTCAGTTTAACCGGCAGGCTGTTCCAAAGCAGTGTACCTTGAACTGAAAATGTAGATTGTGCAAATTTAGTTTTTTTTTTTTTTGGTACTGTGCAGTTCTGATTGGTTGCACCTCTTGTAGTGATCTCTTTACTACTCTGTTTTGTTATTCATTTGCATATAATTTCTGGAGCAAGATGAATTAATTATAAATAGACACATTTATAAAATTTTCAAAACTATGCAAACTATATTTTTGTAAAATATTGTAATAATGCCATCTAATTGGTTTCTTGTCCAAAACTTGTAGTTTTTGATTATATAGAGATAACAGTTTTGATAGTCAGTTGAGAAACCTGAGTCCAGTCAATCACACAATATAAGATAAGTGTGAAAAGACCATTGCATGCATGGATAACTTAGCTACTTTTAAAGATATATACGGTCTAATCAAATAAAAACAATTCAAGTTTGTTCTGATTGTTCTACACAGTCTCTTTACACGCACATCAAATTTTAATTGAGAATCTTAAAAAAACACCTAAATATTTACATTTATTCACTGTCTCTATTGCTTTTTGATTGATCTTAATTATAAAACCATTCATTTCCTTCCTTCTAACTGAAAAACCCATTGAGATGGTTTTTGAACAATTCAAGGTCAAACAGTTATTTTGCAGCCACTGTGACACACCAGTCATTTCATTTGTTAATATATCTGCAACTAATCGTGGAGTTTGTGCAGATACATACATGACTGTGTCATCTGCATATAAATTGCATTTAGTTTCCATACACCAATTTAGTAAAACATTGACATATAAAGAAAACAACAGTGGACCTAAAACTGACCCTTGAGGGAGACCCATCTCATTGTTTCGTAAAAATGACCTTGAATTATTTATTTTAACACACTGATCTGATCTTGTGGTTGTAAATATGATCTAAACCAATTTATTGCGTGTTGAGAGAAACTAAACAGCTTTAATTTATGCTGGAGTATTTTGTGATTCACAGGATCAAATGCCTTTTTGAGATCTAAAAATATCACACCTATAAAGCTCCCTTAATCAATTCTGTGAGAAAGTTTGCCATTTCTGTTGAATATTTAGGCCTAAAACCAAAGTTTTTAGAGTGAAGTAGATCATTTTTTTCTAAATAGTTGATAAGTTGTTCAGCTATAACTTTTCCAAATTGTTTTTAATTACAGGAAGTATAGAAATTGGTCTATAATTCTGAACCTCATCAGCTAATCCTTCCTTAAAAATTGGGGTTATTATAGAAGTTTTCCAGTTTGAGGGGAATTTACTTTCTCTGATATATAGATTAATCAAATTTACCAAGGGCTTTAGCAAACGAGCACTTATGTTATTTAATGAACATGGCATCCATTCCAAATATATACTTAGCCCTTATATTATTGAATTAATAGTTTGAAGTATCTTATCTTTATCAGCCTCAGAAATATAAAAGGATGAAGGTGTATCTTTTATTACATATTGAGGTAATTGTACAGGACCAAAACATAAAGCACATTCTTCTACAGACTGGATAAAATATCTATTAAATTTATTAGCAATTTCAATGCTATCAGTACTAAGTCTTTCATTTATGTACAGCTCCAACAGTGGTTTTCTGTGTATACCGTCGCACTATCATTTGGTTAGTGATAGGCATCTGCCAAGAAAGCATGGCTTGGTTCTTTAACTGGTAATTGTAGGTGTAGAAGTTGTAAGCATTGTGACAACATGGTGAGAACGAATCATTTTACTGATGTGATTTCTGGTAGGCCTAAAATTTATCCATTTGAGTCCTTCATTACTTGTAATTATTCGTGTGTAATATATAGGTTAGAATGTGAGTGTGGACATTTTTATATTGGTCAAAGTAAAAGGAAATTACGCTTAAGAGTGTCTGAACATAAATATGCTATTCGCACGAAAAATATGCTGTATGCTATCATAGAGAGGCATTTCAATGAAGCTGGTCATGCAAGTGATATATAATTGAATATATCCCTTGTTCAATAAGAGGGGGAGATAGACTGAAACAACTTTTACAACGAGAAACTTTCTGGATTTATACTAGGGCTGTCAGTTTAACGCGTTGACTTAATTAATTAGTTATGAAAAAATAACGCGATTAAAATATTGTAACGCAGTTAACGCACTGGCCCCGCCCCCAGTCCTGTACATCATCTTGCATTTCATACAGTTGACTGATGACAAATATGATGCTGGGCAACACCTCCATAAATGCAGTTATGCCCTTAAATTCAAGATATTGTGGCAAAAATTTTCCTGTATGAGTTTTTGTCTCATATTTATATCACATGATAAGCGATTTCACATAAACAGCAGAGAGCAGTAGGCTTTCACACGAGTATAATGAGTGCAAATGTGATTCAAACAACAGTTCAGTAGTGTTATATTTTAAACACAATTTTGTCTGTTTTTGTTCAGTTTTGCCAACAAAAATATTACCTATAAGGCCACAGCAGAATTGTTGTGCATCTGTGAGCAACACAGAGGTGTTTAGTTTCTGAATGAATCCGCGTTTTGAACGAATCGGGTGAATCAATGAATCAATGACTCAAAGGCTCATTCAGAAAGTGAGCTGCTTACTGAATTCCTGAATGAATCAGCTGTTTGAACGAATCAGTGAATGAATGAATGACTCATAAAAACATTTCCCGCTTTAGTTTCTTATATAGAGTATTGTTTAATTTAAAATAAATAAAGGAATAGTTCACCCCAAAAAAATAATGTAATCATTTACTCAAACCTGAATGTTTGTGAAACTTTAAGATTTATTTGTGAATCACATTGTATGGATGAAGTTAATGAAGAAATAATTTTTTTAACTTTTTTTCTCATTTTGAATATGTTTTGTACAACAGGAAAGCTCAAGCCACTCCCACTGATTAACCAGCTGTCTTTGATTGCTTACTAATTGTTTAAGAACACTTGTTTGAACAATTGATGTGTATCCTGAAGAAGGCTGTGAAGCCGAAACGAGTAGATTTTTACTGTTTTAATGACTTAACTAAAGGCTTTTTATTTTTACTATACGAGTGCCTTGGAGTATTTCATCTTCTCAGTTTTTTTTATTTCATAATATATTTTAAAATATACATTTAAAAAAAAACATTAAAATATATATTTTGCATTATATATTTCAATCCAAATACAAATACATTCACACTTGAAGAAAAACTTTATTTGTTGACTATAACACGTTTTGAAAAAACAATAATAATACAAATTCAGCAAACAACATATTTTACAATGTTCAGAAAATAATATATAGTTATTTTATGAATTATAGTTAATATACAAAAAAAAGCATTATTAATGTAGTTTTTATCTCTTGGCTATTCCATCCACATTTGCATTTACCCTAAATGTAGGCTACTGTAAGATTGGAAATGTATTTTCTTGCCCCAGCAGGGCTGGCCCTGGCATAGGCGGAATAGGCAAATGCTAGGGGCGCCAAAATGAGTGAAGTTTTTTTTTTTTGTAACCATTTTTTTTTTTTATTAGGCTACCAATACTACTTCAATACTATAAATGTAAAATATTACCAAAAAACAATCCCACAAAACAACTGTTTTATTGCTCTTCTCGGTTCGACGCATGATCAATCTTCCCCTGCGCAGCCGCACTAGCACATACATCAGTTACCTGATTGTGATAGATGTTCACTAATAAATTATCACTGTCAAAAAGACCGAAGCCCTCTGGTGACCAGGGAAGAAAAAAATAAGAGAAGAAAAACGGTACAAAGACAGAGGTAATGTGATGTAATGAATGATGCTGATCATCATATAAATAAATTAACTAGCCCTTAATTGCATGAATGTTTCGCCAATCATGATTACATATTCGTGTCTTTAGAGACCAGTACCTATATATCTAGCAAGGGTGAATCTCTAACTGCTGCAATAGCAAAAAACTATCTTGATATTTTAAGAACAATTTCATTTTCAATTTCGTTACCTTGTGAAACTTGGAAGGGTTCGATTTGAGCAGATGATTTTTACCATCGCTGCCATCGTCAGAGCACACATCCAGCATCTGGATTCTCAAAACTGTCGTTTTCAATGGCTTCAAAATCAATATTTTGATCACTGGCAGCTTATTCACCACATCCACCGTCAAATGACAGAGACATTTATATGTCACTGCGTACAGTAGGATTGCTCTGCAGTAAAGCCATTCAAACCAGTTCAATTTTTGCTGATGATATTCTTTTGTTTTATGCCTGCGGTAATTATGAGTGAAACATCACGTCGTCATTGTGTATCAAACAGTGTCACCTCCAGGAATAAAGATGCATTGCATTTATTGAGTCATCAGATAGGTAAATATAGTTGAGCAGGAAAAATATAGGCTACTTACACATTTACATACCTTGTGTCTCTAGCGACCCTACACACTTTTTACAACAACAAAAATCAGAAACCAGGCATTCTTTTATATATATATATATTTTTTTTGTTATATTGTTTGTAATGCATATATTGAGGAATAGCCTACTAAGAAAGTTGATGTAGGTTCTAGATGAGGTCAAAGTTTGTGGACAAACTTTAAGTTGGCCTAGTCTAGAAGTTTAAAATAGGGTAATAAAAATGTCTGGAGTTCCAGAGAGCCGAGATTGTATAACATAAATGTCATTTTTTGTGTAATATGACAACACGTTTCACGCTATAGTTGTGTAGTTTTTGGGGATTTATTGTATTTTGAATTTGAATTGGCTAATTTAGTAATGTTTGTATGTAACTGGGCTTATTAAACTAGTAAAATGAATGTAAAATTCACTTTAAAGATGTACGTTTCTCAGTTTAATTCATGGTGATATCATTAGAATGAGCTAGTAGAACATTGCTGCCATCTACTGGAAATCGAACACTTTTAAAATGTATTTTGAAGATTAAACAGTAGCCTACTGTATGCTAGAGAAGTGTTCAAATGAATACAGTTTTCTCCAGGAATACCAGATGTAATTATTCTTAATTATTTAATTTATAAAGTGACTAAGGGAGCACCTATATTTTTATAGTTTCACTGGAAACGATTTAAAGTAAGGTTAATTGTCAATAACTAACACTAACAAAAATAATAAATAGCCTACTGTTACAAATGTATTGCTCATTGTTAATTCAAGATAGTTAATATTCACTAATGTTAATGTGAGGCAAGGGGCACCAGTTAAAATCTTGCCTAGGGCAGCAAATTGGCCCTGTGCCCTTGATATACATTTTGAAATATATTTTGGTATATGAGGGTTGAAACTAAATATATTTTCTATTTCAAAAATATATTACATTGAGCTTCTATTTACAACATATATTTGGCATATATTTAAAACACATTTTGGTCGCTGTGTTTTATTTATTTATTTATATATTTTCTGTATGGGCTGACCTCACCATAAAAAAGCTTGATAAGAAATTAACCCTGAAATGACCCTTATGTGTCAGGGGACATGCTTTTTAGTCAAACGCATGAGGAAGTACTAATTCAAAGTCTTTAATAAGTAACCAAAACCAAGGACCTTAATCATGTGTCACTGGTGCTTGGACCTTTATGATTACTGCTTGCGGCTATATTTAAGTCGTCATATGAAATTGGCAACATAAATAGTGGATCAGAATCAAACTGAGAGTCAGACTGCCTGATAACATTTATATTTCATCCAGACTTTAATCATCAGCGCTGCTGCAATGTCTCACTGGAGTCCCGTGAAGCCTGTCACCTCAAAGGTGGAGAACATCTGCTCTGAGGTATGAGACCCAAAAATCACAGCATGCTGTGAATGCATTTATTTGTCATAGCTTAGTAAGTTTATGTATTTTGGTGCTGTAAATGGAAATATTTCTAGTTGTTTTTAAGAGATTGCTCTGTTTTGCTTTTCAATTAAAATCATAATTAATTTGCGTTTTATTATTTTCAAAATTTTAGCTGTAACTCCAGAGACTAATAAATTCAATCTTCTGTTTATTCAGATGAAGCCACAAGTACAGGAGAAGGCTAACGCCCAATTTGATGTTTACGTTCCTATAGACTTTATTTCTACAAATGAACATGGAGTAAACTACACATATGTGGTAAAGGTAGTTGGGTTTTTGTGTTTAATGTTATTATTATTTTTTTTTTATTTAATGTCTCAAGTGATTTGCATCTTCACTGTCTGATTATGTTATGAAGCACTAGTCACTGGATAAAATGTTTCTGCATTTGCAGGAAATAAAACATTTTGTTGCAGCTTTGTAGCATTGCTGGAAAAATCTAGTCCAAATCTACTACAGCAGTCACTATCTTCAATTTCTCTTTCTTTTAGGTGGATGTTGGAGGAGACAAGTGTGTTCATGCAAAGATATTTGAAGCCGGTGGAGGAAAACTGATTTTGCAAGATATCCTCTACCCAAAAACCACTAATGAGAATCTGGTCCCCTTCTGAACACTTCTAACCGCATACAGAAATAGTCTTATCAAATCACTATCAAATCACAGACACACACAAACTGTATAGAGGAATTGTTCAAAACTATTACTTTCCTATTAAAATCAGTATTCAAACCCTACTGTGCCAGTGTGTTTATGTGTGTGGGTGCAAACAAAATCACTCATTTCACATTACTAAAACATTTTCATGCTAAAATAACTGAACATTAATATTTATATTAATATTTTACTTAATTTTCACAAATAATTAAAATAAAAATGGAAAGTAAAAACAATAATATTGCAAAATATTATGAGTACGTAAATTGTTTTCTATTGTAATATATTTTAAAATATAACTTGTTCCTGTGATGCAAAGCTGAATTTTCAACAGCCATTACTCTTTATTTACTGTTAAACCTTCAGAAACAGGAACTTGCTTAATAAAGTTAAATATTAAGTAGGCTAGATAAATACTGTACATGTAACTATTGCACTGGTCATTAAACAAAGATTTTAAAAAAGATAATTTAAAAGTTAATTTATCAAGCTTTTGTTTGATTTGAGGTGAGGTGTTTAACTGGAGTTAAATCAATTTATGAACCGAACGACCCAACTGAAGTTCAAGTGTACTGTTATGAGTCACATCTGTAAGCATAAGTCTGTATATTCATTCACTACAATTTATTGCAAGATTGTGAGAGAACATGATCTTTAAAAAAAAAAAAAGATTAAAACCCAAAGAACTTCGCCGGCATGAATTTTTACTCTGGAAATTTCTGCTGCTTGAGTTTCAGATTAGTCAAGTTTATTTGCATAATGATAGGCCTACAGAAAATCATGATGTTGATGCTTGTAATATAAGATATATATTATAATATTTGTTCATACCTTAATACCCCGGACAGTTCCCCGGACAGCGAACCCTGGTCGAGTATCCTCCAGCACCCCCGGCAGTCAGACTGGGTGGAGCAGTCTGATGCCAGGCCCAGTATTGGCGTTAGCTTGCCCGGATCTCCGGTCAGCCCCTGTACTGGGCTAGGTGTCCATATGGCTTGATTCCCTGCGGGCAATCCCATATGTGTATTCTTCCACGGTAAGGTTCCCCTCTCGGTGAACCCGTGTCTTCTCTTTGACAGATCACTCTGTCAGTCTCTGCTGGCAGTCGTTCCATCCCTACTCTCAGGTAGGACCCATTCCATATATAGTACTGCCCCAGGCCTGGGTCAGTCCATATCAGTGTCTCCACATGATACCTCCCTACGGGTAGAATGTGGCCTCCGTAGCGCCATTCTCCGGAAGGCTCTCTTCCCCACCGTTACTGCCGAGCTGTGACAATAAATAGGAAGGGCTTGAAGCAAATCTTTAATTGAAGGTGGAAATCCCTTCTGTTAAAAAAATTATGTGGTAAAAGGAACAGCGGCTTGGCTATCACCAGCAGCGTTATACTCCCCTCAGTGAATTTGCACTGGGGCAGTGGGAAGGTTACGACCTTGCATGGCATTTGTCTGACACGTGGATGCTTGTACGTAACCCTCGTTCCTTGATGGAGGGAACGGAGACGTTATGTCCCCATGCCACAACCTCGAACCATCGCTGGTGGCCAGGGACAAATTCTCGGCTCCTCAGCGTAAAACCTGAAGAGTGGATGCACCTGTCTCCTATTTATATCCGTATGCCAGGGGACTGGCTCAGGTACGCAAAATTCTCTAGCCAAATTCTATTGGCGTTTTCTCTTAAAGTCAGAGATGATTGTGATTTGCATCTTCACTGTCTGATTATGTTATGAAGCACTAGTCACTGGATAAAATGTTTCTGCATTTGCAGGAAATAAAACATTTTGTTGCAGCTTTGTAGCATTGCTGGAAAAATCTAGTCCAAATCTACTACAGCAGTCACTATCTTCAATTTCTCTTTCTTTTAGGTGGATGTTGGAGGAGACAAGTGTGTTCATGCAAAGATATTTGAAGCCGGTGGAGGAAAACTGATTTTGCAAGATATCCTCTACCCAAAAACCACTAATGAGAATCTGGTCCCCTTCTGAACACTTCTAACCGCATACAGAAATAGTCTTATCAAATCACTATCAAATCACAGACACACACAAACTGTATAGAGGAATTGTTCAAAACTATTACTTTCCTATTAAAATCAGTATTCAAACCCTACTGTGCCAGTGTGTTTATGTGTGTGGGTGCAAACAAAATCACTCATTTCACATTACTAAAACATTTTCATGCTAAAATAACTGAACATTAATATTTATATTAATATTTTACTTAATTTTCACAAATAATTAAAATAAAAATGGAAAGTAAAAACAATAATATTGCAAAATATTATGAGTACGTAAATTGTTTTCTATTGTAATATATTTTAAAATATAACTTGTTCCTGTGATGCAAAGCTGAATTTTCAACAGCCATTACTCTTTATTTACTGTTAAACCTTCAGAAACAGGAACTTGCTTAATAAAGTTAAATATTAAGTAGGCTAGATAAATACTGTACATGTAACTATTGCACTGGTCATTAAACAAAGATTTTAAAAAAGATAATTTAAAAGTTAATTTATCAAGCTTTTGTTTGATTTGAGGTGAGGTGTTTAACTGGAGTTAAATCAATTTATGAACCGAACGACCCAACTGAAGTTCAAGTGTACTGTTATGAGTCACATCTGTAAGCATAAGTCTGTATATTCATTCACTACAATTTATTGCAAGATTGTGAGAGAACATGATCTTTAAAAAAAAAAAAAGATTAAAACCCAAAGAACTTCGCCGGCATGAATTTTTACTCTGGAAATTTCTGCTGCTTGAGTTTCAGATTAGTCAAGTTTATTTGCATAATGATAGGCCTACAGAAAATCATGATGTTGATGCTTGTAATATAAGATATATATTATAATATTTGTTCATACCTTAATACCCCGGACAGTTCCCCGGACAGCGAACCCTGGTCGAGTATCCTCCAGCACCCCCGGCAGTCAGACTGGGTGGAGCAGTCTGATGCCAGGCCCAGTATTGGCGTTAGCTTGCCCGGATCTCCGGTCAGCCCCTGTACTGGGCTAGGTGTCCATATGGCTTGATTCCCTGCGGGCAATCCCATATGTGTATTCTTCCACGGTAAGGTTCCCCTCTCGGTGAACCCGTGTCTTCTCTTTGACAGATCACTCTGTCAGTCTCTGCTGGCAGTCGTTCCATCCCTACTCTCAGGTAGGACCCATTCCATATATAGTACTGCCCCAGGCCTGGGTCAGTCCATATCAGTGTCTCCACATGATACCTCCCTACGGGTAGAATGTGGCCTCCGTAGCGCCATTCTCCGGAAGGCTCTCTTCCCCACCGTTACTGCCGAGCTGTGACAATAAATAGGAAGGGCTTGAAGCAAATCTTTAATTGAAGGTGGAAATCCCTTCTGTTAAAAAAATTATGTGGTAAAAGGAACAGCGGCTTGGCTATCACCAGCAGCGTTATACTCCCCTCAGTGAATTTGCACTGGGGCAGTGGGAAGGTTACGACCTTGCATGGCATTTGTCTGACACGTGGATGCTTGTACGTAACCCTCGTTCCTTGATGGAGGGAACGGAGACGTTATGTCCCCATGCCACAACCTCGAACCATCGCTGGTGGCCAGGGACAAATTCTCGGCTCCTCAGCGTAAAACCTGAAGAGTGGATGCACCTGTCTCCTATTTATATCCGTATGCCAGGGGACTGGCTCAGGTACGCAAAATTCTCTAGCCAAATTCTATTGGCGTTTTCTCTTAAAGTCAGAGATGATTGGGGCTCCCAAGTGAATCCCCTAATGTCGTCACGGCATAACATCTCCGTTCCCTCCATCAGGAAACGAGGGTTACTTACGTAACCGAGGCGTTATTATTTTGTCTTGTGGAGTATATGTAAACATGTTAAATAGCTTTTTCAGGACAGTACTAAATGAAAAAATAATATGCAATTTTCGTGATCCCTCTTATTTTGTTTCAATTATTAACATTTTGCACATTCTGTAAATCCCAAATTAATCATTTTTAATACTTATTTAGGAAAAATTGCAAAGTAAAATGTGCATGATTTGTTCGCTTTTTATACGTTTACTATAAAGAGGAAGTTAAAAGTGTCTGGGTAGGGGAAATGAAAATAGTAAGCAATTTTAGTCTTTCAAAACTCATAAACTTTAGAAAAAAGCATTTAAAAAATAATCTGGTCAGTTTTTGAAGGCATTGGTATTTTTCTTTGCTTTTGATATTCCAGAATCATGTGCATGTGGTTAGTTAAAATAAATATTTTAAATTAATATTTCTTTCATAGTGTGAAATATGCAATGTAGTCATGAAATATTTGCATGGTTATGACTAAAGTTTGAATTTGCTCTGCATTATTAAGTTGGTAACTTTGACTTGAAGTGGTGTGTTTATTTTGAAAGTCTGAAACCAAAGGCTTTTGTTTTCTTCATTTAAAGGGGTCATATGATGTTGCTAAAAAGTTGTTGATGTTGATGTTGGTCATATGATGTTGCTTTTTTTGTGTATTTGGTGTAATGAAATGTGTTTATGCAGTTTAAAGTTAAAAAAACACATTATTTTCCACATACTGTACATTATTGTTTCTCCTCTATGCCCTGCCTTTTTGAAACACGTCGATTTTTACAAAGCTCATCGGTCTGAAAAGCGAGGTGTGCTGTGATTGGCCAGCTATCCAGTGCGTTGTGATTGGAATGCCTCAAGCGTGTGACGGAAATGTTACGCCCCTCACCATACTGTTGATGCCGTGTCCGGCCGGAGCGACGAGACAAAAACATTAAAACCCATTACAAACGAGGCATTTGTTGCATCCAGTGGGGACATAATTACTGATTATAATGACTTATACTGTCTTTTTACGCGTTGCGTTGCATTGCATCGCGCCGCGTAAACATAAAACCCTGTCTGCATTTGTGATCAGAGAAATGACAAAAAACAAGTGCTAACGTAACGCCACACTGCCCAAAACTCGCGTTTGTATCGTCAGTGGCAAATGATAAAAGAAAACGTACT